TAGCAACAATACTACAGAAATCACCAGAAAACCGGAATAGATATTGAATCCACCCCTCACCAATTTTTTTTTAATGTAATGTACTCTTTCACTTACCCTTACAGAATATTACACTTTTTAAAAAACTGTTAAGACAGAACTACATGGTACTGATGTTAGTAACTTTAATCAAGGGTCATTTAAAACCAAGTACACCTCTAAATGAGAAATGGCCAAATGCAAATTCAGAGTGAGGCCTGTTTTGAGTTCTATCAAGAATAGCTCACAGACTCTTCCTTCACTCCCACTAAGAATTCACGACGAGGATCTCGTGCCTGGTTGTGCAGACTGACAGGCTTCACTCTATTCAGTGAGCATACACTACAGCAACTGAACATCGGCAGTGAGCATTCACAGAACTGACTCCTGAGTATATTCTTACTATTTCACACACACACCCACACAGCCCCATCAACATAATCACATAGCTGTAACAGCTGGAAACTACTCACCTAAAATGGTAAGAAGAAATCAACCGGAAGGCATTTTTTTGTTTTGTTAATATGGGTTTTGGTTGTTTTTTTTTGGGGGGGGGGGGATGGTTCTGTCCTTAAATTTTAAAAAAAATTCTAGCTATATAGCCTGCTTTGTATAATTACTGAATTGTTTCTTCAACCTATATCCCCATGTGTATTTTATAATTCCTAGAGATTCACTTACCCCAGTGTTCAAATCCTGTAGAATGTCACCGAGGAGATCATCCTTTGACAAATCTATAGCTTTCTGGAAATTACAAAGGAAGATAAAATGAGAAAGACCTACACTTAAAATGTTCATTCAGACTATACAAAATCCATGAAAAGAGCCTACCCAGTTAGTTCTCACCTGCTCATTTGTCACTCTGAGTGCTAACCTATTATTCCCAGATGTTAACACTGGTGTGTATATGATTTCTGAATCTATAGCCCTCATCCCCTAATTTCATCCTCATTCCATGACCTTCCAGCTGATCACTGAGATTAAGCACACTGTCAATTCAGCTTTTCTGATCAATTTTCTGTTTCCCTAAGTTCCAACCACTGAAGTGTCTAAATTCATGCAGAAACGTACATCTACCTTAGTGAATGAAATCAGAAAGATGTTACTTAAATATGTTTTAAACACCCATTATCTGTATAATCAAATATTAAAATTCACTTCACAAAGGAAAAGGTAAAACATAAGAAAACCATAAAACTCACATCTGCGGTTTTCTTTCCAGCACTAGCGATGAACATTGACTTGATATTGTTTGGTTTTGTCACCGCAGGCTTCTTCACATTTCTCTTATCTTTGCTGCGTACTTTACTGCTATCTTTTCCTATTGGAATATATGCTATTTAGAAACATGTACTGGCAAAAATCAAAAAAGAAAAACTAAGTCTACCCAACCACTCTCTGTACATGAGAATTTGAGAAGAAAACTGCCAAGACTTATAAACACAAAAAGATGAGATTTTTATATAAGGTGCATAGGCAAGGATTTTTAGAATGAGCTTAATAAGAAAACTTGACCTAAATGTTATTATGAAAACTGACAAAAAACCAGTTAAATATCAAGATGACTTAATTATTATTGTTCATGCTAATAAAAATCTTTTATAGGGACCAACAGTTGGCGTAATGGCTATGTCGCCGGGTTCCCATGTAGTCGACCACGGTTTGAGTCCCAGACCCGGTGGCTTAAACTCACACCGGACACGTGTGCGTGTGTGCCCAAGATCCTGAGAGGAGAATGGAGGAGAAGGGATTGTAGCATGGCCATCCCTCCAGGGGGTGATTTCTTGCTTTCTGTCTCTCTGTGTCTCTCTTTCTTTCTGTAGAGTGCATACATCCTATAGCAAAAACCTCTCAAAAAGAAAAGAAAAGAAAAGAAAAGAAAAGAAAAGAAGTTAAAAGATAAAGTAAAACTGGAACTAAGGAATTAGTCTAGTAGCCTTCATGAAATCATGTCTTTACAATGAATCTTTGCTTGATGCTGAGCCTGTCAGGAAAACTCAGCTGTGAAAAAACAGGATTACCAATTATAATACTGTATAATACTGTAGCATCCTGATGTCTATTTTCTAAGGAAGTGCAACCAGACACATGTAAAATATATTAGCAACATTAAACAGTACTGACTCATTTGCTCATTAAAGAACATCTTTTATCATATGTTTTCTTGACTATGTGCAAATCATCTACAAACTTTTTTAAAAAGATTTATTTCATTCCTATTATTATTATTACTATTATCTAATTTAACCAGAGAGAGAAAGGGAAAGGGAGAATGCAAGTAGCCAGGTCCAGGGTTCGAACCATGGTCAGCCATATGGGAATCCAGCAACATAACCCTTATGTCATCTACTGCTAGCGCCTTTAACCGCTACGTCACCTGCCAGCCCCCAAACTTATCTAATACTATCAATTTTACTCTTGCTTTCTGGTACATTCCAGAACAATCATGAACTAAAAAACAAAAAAAAGAAGAAGAATTAAAATAGTGTGGTAGTCACATATAAGTAGACCAAATGACATAAAAGATGAAGTCCAGAAAAGATTGAATTACTTATAGAAACTTAGCATATAATAAAGGTAGCATCTCATATCATTAGGGAAGAAATAAACTTTTATTTTTTTACTCTTTTTAATTGCCAGAGGGCACATGTACTCCCCAGAGACAGAAAGAGACCCAGTAAGAGAGAAAGTCCCCCCCACCCACCCAATGGGGCATGATCACATCATATACCCCTCTCCTCTACCTCTCCATCCCATCAGGATTTTGGGCACACACACACATGCACCCAGCACGTTTTTCAAGCCACCAAAGGCCAGGATTGCAAATGCAATTGCCACATGGGATTGTCACATGGGATCTGGCTCCCTTAACCACTAGGCTACAGGGCTGGCCCAGTAATGTTGGCTAGTCATTTGTAAAGTAAGCCAATATAGGGGCTGGCAGGTGGCATGGTGGTTAAAGGCACTGGATTCCCACGTGGCTGACCGCGGTTCAAGTCCTGGACCTGACAGCTTGCATTCTCCCTTTCCCATTCTCTTTGTCTCTCTCTGGTCAAATTAAAAAATAATAACAAATGGTATTAAATAAATAAATACTTTTAAAAAAAAATAAAAAGAAAGAAAAGAAGTAAGCCAGTATAAACACTAATTAGATCACAGATCAAATTTTTTTTTTAGATGAAACTATACAAGTACTGGGAAATAGGGGCTGGTTCCACAATGCAATGGTAGAGCACTGGTCAAGAGATGCCAGATCCCACATGGCAACCATGTTTCAAACCCTCAGCATGTCAGCCTGATAAATACATGTGGCATGCACATGCGTAAGTGCCCAGGACCCAACAGGCTGGAGGGCTGGTAAAAGGGATAGTGGTTTGACTATACCCTACGAGGACTCTCCTCTCCTCCCTCCCTCTCTCTCTCTCCCTCTCTCTCTCTCTCTCGCATGTAAACACATGTGCTCTACCATATATAACATTTTTTAAAAGTGAATTTCATTGTAGTCGGAGTGTGATAAAAACCTATGATTCAAAAATCATGTGCAAGAAAAAAAGATTGATAAATTCAATTACACCAGAAATAAGAAAACAAGAACTAGGAAAAAACTTTGGCAATATGTATCACAGGTTAAAAAAAAATTTCCCTGATAATTTCCTTGATATAAAGAACTTTCAAAAAAAAAAAAAAAAACCAAGATATAAAGAACTTTAAAAAAAAAAAAAAAAGACCAAATGCCTAAAGTCTTTTCTTTTGGAAATGATAAACATTTATTTGGGTAATAATACAAACATATGTAAATATTAAGTTTTATGAAAAGATGCTCAATTTATGTATGAAAACAGTGCAAAGGCAAATCACACTAAGCTACCACTGCTCACATATCAGAGTGACGAAATGTCCAAAGCTTGACAAATACACTAATTAGGGAGGCTATAGGGAGACCTTCAGACACTATCCATGGAGTGCAAAATGGGACAACTCCCCTGAAGAGTGATCAGATAGTTAGATAGCTAACAAAACTTCGTGTGTATTCACTCTCTAAGCCATCAATCCCACGTCCAGGAGTTTCCCGAGAAAAACACAATGTGCACAGAATTACTAAATGTGGCACTCATTGTAAAAGCAAATTGCTAAAAAGTAACCTGAATGTCCACCCATAGAAACCACTACAACCATACCACAGAATACTCTGCAGCTATATAGAAATATATGTGAAAGAAAGATCTCTATATATTTATATAGAGTGATTTTCAAGATATCTTATTCAGGCAAGAAAGCAAAGCATAAAACTATTTAGCTTTTGCCAAAAAAAGGTGCATATACATACATTATAAATACACACACACACACACACACACACACACATATATATATACGTATACACACAAAAAAATTTAGGTCATTGAGAAAGTCATGACACATTTTTCTATGCAAAAAAATAACCAAAACATGAAAACAAGCCAAATGTCTATCAGCTAATAAAAGGAAAAGCAAAATGGGGCATATCCATAATGGAATTTTTTTAAAGATTTATTTATTTATTTAATTCTATTTGTTAATTACTTTTTAATTTGACCAGAGAGAGACAGGAAGGGAAATCAAGAAAGCGAGCTGCCAGGTCCAGGACTCAAGCTGCGGTTGGCCACGAGGGAATCCAGCACCTTTAACCAGCATGCCACCTGCTGGCTCCACACAATGGATTATTCTGTCATAAAATGGAATAAAGTACTAATACATGCTACAACATGGATTAAACTTGAAACCATTATGCTAAGTAAAAGATGCCAGACACAAAAGGTCACATATTTTATGATTCCACTTACATGCAATGTCTAGAATAGGCAAATCCAAAAAGACAGAAAGTAGATTAATGGTTGCTAGGGGCGGGGGGAGGGGAGACCGAGGAGTGACTGTTAAAAGAGTATGAGATTTCCATTTGAGGTGATAAAAATGCTCTGGAACGAGACAGTGATGGTTATTAACACTGAGTGTAATATGTGTCACTAATAATAAATGGCAAATTTTATGTTTTATGTATTTTACCACAAGGAAAAAAAGGTATCTTTCATGTATTTAAAACTGTGAAAAGGTTTTCAGGACATCTGTGAAAAATGTGAGCCAGGAGAACTGTATCAAGAAACTTACATTTTTGGGACCAGCAGTAGACGTAATGGCTATGTCACTGGACTGCCAATGTAGTCAATGGCGGTTCGCGTCCCAGACACAGTGGGTTAAAATCACACCCGGCACCTGTGCGTACGTGCCCATTTTTGGGACCAGCAGTAGACGTAATGGCTATGTCACTGGACTGCCAATGTAGTCAATGGCGGTTCGCGTCCCAGACACAGTGGTTTAAACTCACACCAGGCACATGTGCGTACGTGCCCAAGATCCCGAGAGGAAAATGGAGAAGAAGGGATGGTGGCATGGTCATCTCCCCCTGGGAGGTGATTTCTCATTTTCTGTCTCTTTGTATCTCTCTGTCTTTCTGGGGAGCGCACGTGCCCTATACCAAAAACATCTCAAAAAAAAAAAGAAGAAGAAGAAACTTACATTTTTATTGAGATTACTTAGAGCAGTTTGAAAACAGAATTAGTGGTCAAAAACTTTAGTATACGAAATTTGGGTCTTAATATAGAGTATAAAATAAAGGTTTGAATAGCAAAGAATCATGAAGGGGGCTTTAATCTCATCATTTTGATCCTTTAGACAGAGGACCCCCCCAAAAAAAAAATAAAAAAATAATGGGACCAGCAGTTAGCATAATGGCTATGTCGCTGGACTCCCATGTAGTCGACCACGGTTCAAGTCCTGGACCCGGCGGCTTAAACTCACACCAGGCGCATGTGCGTGCGTGCCCAAGATCCCAAGAGGATAATGGAGAGAAGGGATTGCGGCGTGGCCATCCCCCCGGAGGGTGATTTCTCACTTTCTATCTCTCTGTCTCTCTCTGTCTTTCTGGCAAGCGCACTCACTCTATAGCGAAAACCTCTCCAAAAAAATAAATTAAAAAAAATTAAAAATTAAAAATAAATTCGAGGTGAAATTCTTCCACAATATGGTGTTTGTGTTTTGATGTTTTCCCACTGTTTTTTCTTCACTGGATATGGTTGATATTTTTCTCTGTTTGAAAACAACATGCCTGAGCCAACCAGTGACATGGTGGTTAAGGCAGTTGGACCTTACATGGCCAACTGCTTGGTTCAAGTCCCGGACCCGGAAGCTAGAAATACACAGCAGGTGTGTTTACGTGCAAGCCCAAAATCCCACGAGGAAAATAGAGAAGGAAGTGTGTCATGGCCATCCCTTTTTTTTTTTAATGGCCATCCCTTTTGAGTGAATGCTTTCTCACTTTTTCTCTCTTTATCTCTCTCTCTCTACCAAGCATACATACCCTAAAACAAATTTATTTTTAAATTCCAGGGATTGGATCCATACCACAGAGTTGACCTTTTACTTCTAAGCAAAACTCTGCCATTTCTTATAAGTGTTTAAAATAGATTGCAAAATTCCATTTTCCTTCCTAAGATATTGTGACTTTATTAGGCTCCTAGTAAGGGACACTGAAATAGTGGGAACTTGTGGGTGAATGGTGGTGGCAAAGCAAAAAATAATTGCTAACACTAGTTCTCTTCCAGAAAGTCAAATCATTCTCGCCAATAATAGAGTCCTGGGAAGAAACAACATGGTAACTGTGGAAACACAGAGATGGCTTCTCTACTTGACAAACACCGCACCTTTCGTTGTGTCCACTACCGTGACTGGCACTGGGATGACCAGGACATAGGTCCTTTTCTTGAGAAGCTCCCTGTGTAGTCTAATTTATAACTGACAAAACCAAAGCCCAGATAGGTGATGGGACCAGTTTAAAATGATACAAGTAAGAATAAAGCCATATCTCTAATCCAAGCCTCCTCGGTTCAGGGAGATAAGAATGGCACAGGGGCCCATTCTCGCCTTTGGGGACTCACAGAAAGGGGGAATGCACAACTAGCTACTCTGCAGACAGTTTCTACATTACACAGGTTGACAGAAACCAGGAAGATGGTCCACATATTCTAACTGGTGAATAAATGACTAACATCCCGTACAGAAAACGTACACGAGTGCTTCTTTTTCTTAAGAATTATTTATTTATTTCAATTTGACCAGAGAAGGACGAAGTGAGATCAAGAGAGAGAGAGAGAGAGAGAGAGAGAGAGAAAGCAACCCGCCAGGTCCGGGACTCGAACCGCAGTCGGCCATGTGGGAGTTCAGTGTCCTTAACCACCACACCACCTTCTAGTCCCTACATGTGCTTTTTTTTTGTAAAAGGAAACATAAGGATAAAACGAAAACTAATAAAAATGGTTACCTAGAGAGATGGGTAGAAACAAGCAGAAGGCACAGAGCTAAGAACAAGATTTATCTGAGTATCTCTCTATATATCATTTTGATTTTTAAATCAAATAAATGTTTTACAATATTACAAAGACAAAATTTTAAAAAGGACTATTTAAAAACTGTTTATAATAAGAGACAAGAACACATGTAAGCATGAGGGAAGGAGAGAGAGGGAGAGAAAGAAGGAGACAGATTGGTATTTTTCTCAAAGGTCTCATCGTGATTCCCCCATGACAGCCCCAGTTAGCTAGGACCATAGGTACATATCACTGCACCGGTTCGTTTAGGCTGGGCTGGGAACCAAACCCAGGAATTTCCAGGTGACCTCAGCCACCACACCCTGTGGCTAGGCCTAAAGACTGAAATGGACTAGAAATAAAAACAAGAGAATCTGTGTAGCAAGTTTTTAATATAACACAGAGAAAAAAAATCAATACTTTATTTAACTTCTGAACACAATACGCTGACTGTAGTCTCTTATATACCAACAAATAAAACATCAAAGAAATTATAAACATTACTTAGAAAGGTAGTTAAGAGGTACTCGTTTAGTAGTTCCAAAATTACTTTATGTCTATCTTGGAAGACAAAGAATTAAGATGAAGAACCCAGTGGTGCTAGATTTGAAACAATCAAATACATCAATACGAATTCCCCTATATAATCTGTTAGTTCACTCCCTGAAACGTCCTAGAAGCCATCACACCCCAACAGCAATGAGCGCATCCATCTCCCAGAACTGAGTATCATTGCCCCATTAAGAGAACCAGAACTGAGGGGTGGGCAGGTGGCGTCATAGTTAAGGCCGCTGGACTCCCACATGACTCCCTGTGGTTCAAGTCTCAGATCTGACAGCTTGCTTTCTCACTTTCCCTCTCACTCTGTCCCTTGCTAGTCAAATTAAAAAATTAAAATAAAGTTAAATAAAATAATTCTCTAAAAAAAAAAAAAAGAAAGAAAAAGAACCAGAATTGTTTGGAGAAATGGTTCATTTTATGTCTGGGCCAGGAAGAGTCCAAGATAAACATCTAGGGCCCAGCAACTTGAAGAACATGCAGAGCACATGTACATACTCTTTCGCTCTCTCTCCCTCTCCCTCTCCACTCTTTCTCCCTGGTGATCACGTGTGTCCTCCAGCAGTAAAACAAGCAAAAAAGAGAAATTCCCAATCTCATTTTAAAGAAACTAAAGCAGGCTTGTTTAGTAAAAAAAAAAAAAAAAATTTGCCAATGACTATATAGCTAAGAAAATCCAACACTCACTCCTACCACTTT